TTTTTTTTCGCTGAAGCCCATACCTCTTTTAACGTGAGTTGATATGAAAGAAGAATTGTTATTATTGCCTAGGTTATGATAATTGATAAAATGAAAGTTCAACTTTAACAATATTTTCTCAGCGATTCTTGGACGCGAGTGATCATCGAGAAGCCGTTCGGTCATGACTTGGAATCGTCGACGAAGCTTTCTAAACATATCTCGAAGCTCTTCAGAGAGGTCACTTTCCATGTTTACGCCGTCTTTTTGCGCATCTTATCTATGGTAACACTAATATTATCTATTTAGGATCAAGTGTATCGAATAGATCACTATCTCGGTAAAGAAATGGTTCAGAATCTCATGGTCTTAAGGTAGGTTGAATTAGTTTGTGAGATATGCGCTTTGTCTTTCGAGATCTCCTTTTAAGGTTCGGAAATCGATTTTTTGGGGCATCTTGGAACAGAGACAACATTGCTTCAGTCACCATAACTTTTAAAGAAAATTTTGGCACAGGAGGAAGAGCTGGCTATTTTGAAACCGCCGGCATCATAAGGTTATTTTTGATTAAACGTTTGCAAATCAGATTCGGTTATGCATGAACTACGAATTTACAGAGACGTGATGCAAAACCACCTAATGCAGATATTAACTCTCGTTGCTATGGAAAAGCCAGCGACTTTAAATGCTGAAGACATCAGGGACGAAAAGGTGTTCAAGGCATTGTAGATCAAAATGTAAAATATCCATTTTTATTAAGGTGAAAGTCTTGAAAGCTATCAAGCCAGTGGAGTTGAAGGACATGATACTTGGTCAGTATGTGGCCAACTCAGACTGCGATCGTAAGTTGTTCATTTGTTTAGTAGTTAACATTAGATTTTGACAAGAATTGAATTTTAATGAATTGAGATTTTTATGAACCAAGGAAAACATTTTCAATAGCGAGTTGTTCAAACGAATAGCTCTAGTATAAGTTTATCTGGTACCTTAATACCAGCAGATAAGCCACACCTCAAAAGTTCCTTCGGGTGCAAGATCGCGCCTTTCGTGTCGCGCATGTTCCAACAGAGCGCGATTTTCTCAGCTTCTACACAACGCATTTCTAGGCAGCGTTGCGCAGGATCCAACTCGCGTAGCCAGGTTGGTTTAGCGCCCTATAGCGCTTTCGGAGTGCGCTATGTACCGGAAATTAGGGTACGTTTTCCGCATAGCATCTCCGTACTGCACGCAACATGGCTAGTGTATCACAAAAATCATGTTTAGGGTATTTGAAATGATACATTGTTACTTCGAATATTTGAATAACGGGTCTATTCAAAGTTCGGTTTCTACAAAATAGAATTTGGAATTTATAAAGAGGTGCTCTATACAGTGATTTCACCAATCACTAATTCCACTGCAACGTCTTGTCGTATACCAAACTGTAGAGAACACGAAGTATCGGATCATCATGAAGTTAAAGAAAAGTTTTTCTTTCGATAAATTTTTGATGGAAAACTTATTTTTGTGGCTAATAAACATCTTAACCTGAATTTCAGCTCCATCTAAGCACTGCTTTAGATCTATCCTGGATTTATTTTCGAAAAATTTTTTGACATCAAATCTGGGAGAATTTTTTGTTTTATTCTAAACTAGGTTAAAACAGGGAAAAGAGCTTCGATGATATCTCTAATTTTGGTCTTCTGACTGTTAGCGAACAGTGTGTAGTGTGCGTTTAAAGAATTTAAAGCGGTGAGCCAGAGCCTTGAAGATGAGGAGGTTGTGGGTGAATGATCAGTTTCCATAAGATAAGAACGATAGCTGTAGCAAATGCTTGGGGAATCTCATTAAGAGAGAACAGGCAAATATGGTGGGTGATAATCAGTTCACGGCCTACAGTATAACTACCGTAAACCTGCACAAAAAGGCACTGCTCCAAGTACAGGTTGTTCCAACTTAACCTATGCGCAACCTCCGGGCATGAATTCCTGGCAATATGCAATTAAAGAAGGTAATATAATTGAGAGAAATCTTCCTGGACCGAACTTTCAAATCGTGATCCATTTGCTCATAATAAAACGTGATGAATGATACATAATTATTGTCGACCAGTGCGGCTCATTACCCGTCTTACCAGCTACAGATATGGCCCTTGTTAACCGTTACCCACTCTCGTGAGCCTTGACTGGTCGGGCAGGGGACACACGGGAGCCCGATGTCTCGCCGCATTCTTCCAGGGCAAGTATCGTCGGCTCCCAAAGATAAAGCGGTCGGGGGAGATTACGGCACTGATGTGGCGCGGCCGGTGGTGAATGAGACATCATTGATTAGCTTCCTGAGCCCGTGGACAAGAGCTGATCATTGTCATTGATGTGCCATTCAAAATCGATCGCACCGCGTCATTCATGTTCTGCAGTTGACGTCTCACCTAATAATGCT